ACCCGATGCAACCTATTTGGAACAACCTTACTGTATTCTCGATCGTAGGAATCAGATACTGCGCACGAAGACTATTCCATTAGTATGTGTACAGTGGAGTCATCATAGTGCTACAGAGTCTACTTGGGAACGGGAAGATATTATCCGTGCCAAGTATCCAGAGCTTTTTAATACAGGTATGTAGTGAATTTCGGGGACGAAATTCCTTTATTAGGGGGGGAGAATGTAATACCCCGTAATTTTAAAGAGTGTATTTAAATTTATTTTGTGTTAGGTTAATTAATTTTATTTATTTGTGCATGTAATATTGATTTATGTTCTATATAGTATAATGATTAGTTTTAAAATTTTTATTGGTTATGTTTTAGATTAATTATTATTATTTAATTAAAGTATTTAATTTGTATATAATAATAATAATAATATAATAATTATAATTATAAAAGTTTATTAATAATAATAATAGTATTAAACCAATGTCATGATGAAATTAGAGATTAGGATAGGATTTCATCAATATTTATGGGTGGAATTGAAGCCATATGGTTGGGAAGGTGGTTAATTAAATACAAAAATAGATATTTGTAATATTTATATTATATAATTTGTATATAAATTAGCTAGTCTACCTTAGAAGGAAAGAAAGGGAGTTAAACACAAATTATAAATTCTAGTGAGCCATGGTAAAAGTGTGGAAAGGAAGAGAGAGAAAGAAAGGAGCTTGGACCGGTGTAGGGAATTTACCCGACTACGCGCAACCGGCGGATTTATTTTAAATCCAAAAAGGCAAGTTATTATTTACTTTTCCCCTTTGAATTAATAAATTAATTGTTTAGTTTATTTTTATGCATAGAGCCAAGGTTAGGAGGTTAATAAATTATTAATGTTATTTTATTAAATTAATGAAATTTTAATTATATAGGATGGTATATATTTATTTAATATCTTATGAAATTAATAATGGCCGAAAATAATTAAATAAGGCGTTAGGGATTTTTCTAGAATTTCTAGATTTTTTCGGGGCTTTTCTGCAATTTCCGGCGACCTTCCGGCGAGTTTTCCGGTCGCCGGCAGTGGGGGAGATGACCGGAGTAATCCGGTGTGATACGGCGCACTATAGTTACTGTGCGCATGGATATCCGGCCGTTAGATGAGTAACTAATCAGCAGATTGATTCGGTGTAGTCCAATACACCATAAGATGGTGCGCGCGCGAACCAGGACCCTTGGATTAGAAGAACTAAGATAGAATTATCCAGTGTAGCGCACCCACAACAAAGTCCATGCAACCACCGAATCAGGAGCCGCCGCGTCAGCAAGGTACCATTAGTGCGCGCGTGGAACGCTCCAGACGCGCGTGGGAGCGCGTGCGCGCGCGTGGCTGATGCCAGACGCGCGTGGAGGCGCGTGGGAGAGTGGGAAAGCTTGGCGGCGCGTGTGGGGAGCTCTGAGAGGCGCGTGGGGGCGCGTGAAGGGCCTCTGCAGCTGCTGGAAAAGTCCAGAATACCCCTAGGGACTGTTTTGTCATTACCAGGACCTTCACTATACATTTTGGGGCCTCAGGTTGGCATTTTTAGAATTAACGGGACATTATATTATTATTTTATTTCTCGTCAACTATTATAATTGTCCGATTAATATTTCTAAATATTAATTGTATCAGTTAAAGTGCGAATCGCTAGTAAACATATGTAATTAATTTAACGACTATTAATGGTATTATTTTATTAAACTGTAATAACCATTAATGTTAAATTAATTAGTGCTTGGTTTTATTCATAACCCATTATATATTATGGAATATTTATACTGTTAATCATATATAAACCATGATTATTATGCTGTGTGCATTTCAGGAAATAAATGGACTGTTTAATTATGTCACATTTATATTATATGGATGAGTTGCCATATAGAACCATGTGAGCTGGCTAATATGTTTAGACTCATTTATACCTTATGCATTCGTTGCGATAGACAGATGTGTGGCTGTCGGGATATGTAGTTTAATATTATTGGCATGTGTTGCCTAATTGACATACTCGGTATATTTATTAATATTGTTGGCATGTGTTGCCTAATTGATATGCTCAGTATATTCATCAGTACTTTGAGAGGTGTTATCACTGTGTAGTTCGTTATAGTCTGTGTTGTCAGTACCGTGCACCATGTATAATAGCTGATATCCCGGGTAGGGAAAGGCGACACTTGACCACCTAGTGTGAGTCTAAGTGATCACCGTCTATTCTGGTTGAGGTCATGTTATACATCGGATAGTTCCCTTAGGATGTATACAGATATAGTACTCATCCGATTCATAATGATTAATTTATTTGATTCTCTGATTTGGGTCATAGTAGAGAGGACTTGCTCGTGGGGTTAACCCACCATTGTTGTTATTTCAAGATACGGTCAGTACCCGTTCCAAGGTTGAGGTTAGCAGTGTGGGACCACCATCCGAACTCATCTACTCTTACGATCCAGTTCAGGGTAGAAGTTTTACGTATTACTTCAGCTTCAGTTTTTATTTACTTTTGACGTTGAACTCTCAGGTTTATATTTAGGGATCCTTGACATAGGATTTCCAAGTTGTAATGGAGTACTGTATTTAAATAAAGGATGGATGGATGTTGTATTATTTAGTATTTCTTTCCTGTCTAAATTCTTTTATTATCATCATTTTGTATTCCATGCTTGTATATTGCCAATTGTTTTTGATATCCCTCGTTTTTTGTGTATAAGTCTGATCAACTTATGCGTGGAAAATGTGGGGGTGTTACATATATATATATTATTCACTGATAAAGTCCTTTTAACTAAGGTATTATTGAACTCAAATGAGGAATTTTATTGTTCCCCAAACAAAACTAATAACATAGAATTTAATATAGTGTAACTTTTTCAGGTTTTCACAAAGAATCAAACAAAACTAATAATACAGAATTTAATATAGTGTATTCAAAGAAATTAAAACCTCTGCGTTTCTGAAAAACTTCCGCAAACCTAACTCTGATCCGACAACTGTAACAATAACTTTTTCAGGATTTCACAAATAATCAAACAAAACTAATAACACATAATTTAATATAGTGTATTCAACGAAATTAAAACCTCTGCGTTTCCAAACAGAATTTATTATAGTTAATTCAAAGAAATTAAAACCTCTGCATTTCCGAAAACCTTCCGCTCTGCAAACCTAACTCTGACGACAACTGTAACAATAACAACCTCTTCTAGCGACCTTCTTCCAACTCCACTTCCGAAAACCTAAGTTCGACAATCTCTTCTCGCGATCTTCTTCCAAGTCCTCAATTGCCTCTTCTTTCTTCTTTTCGAACTCCTTCTCTTTCCGACCTAGAAAATGAAAGATAATTTAGGGGGTTTTTGAATGTCAAGGATATTTCAGTAAATTTCTCTAAATATTTAATATATACAAGTATATATACATAATATAATATATACATACAGTAACATGTACACTACAAATAAAGTAATCACTGAGGGTAACTTTTTGGGAGCCAAAATTTTTTTAGTGATGTGGCGCTATCTGGACCACAGGAACAGGACTAGGAGAGGATTCCTGCCAGAGAATGATGGAATATATATATATTTATTAAAAACAAACACATATATATACGGCCGCTGACGGTTGCCACAATGAGATCCATTTCTCTCTCTAAGACCTTAACTTTTCTCTCTCTACAATTCTTATTACGGAGTACATGTTAAGTTCTTTATGAATAAATAAATATATATAGTTTATTGAGTAAATACATTAATAAAATTTTAACATTCATAAAATAAAATTAATTAATTTTATATTTATACTTCACGTATTTATTAAAGATGCTATCAATTTTATTTTTTTAATTTTGATCCTCCTATAAACAACAAGTGAGTGTTGCTTGAAATGCCATAATTTAATTGGACCATTCTACCAGCAAACATCTTAGTTGTGAGTCACATATCTCTATATATTGATTACATGGAATGTTAAATTAACAATATTCAAATATGTTTTAATCTCATCTGGCACTACCCAACCACCTAATTGACAGAACGCTCAATTAAAAAAATAAAAAATAAAAAAAATAAAAAAAACAATCTCATCTTCATTGCACTTTTTATAAGTGTATAATAAATAATGAGCTTGATAATCATGTAATCAAAAAATAAAAAATAAATAAATATCCTAATACTTTAAATAATTACACGCATTTATAATATTGATTATAGAAAGACTCAAACGGTCAACCTAACCGGTGTGATCAAACACAATGGGTATATGCCATATTGATCCAAGTGGCATGATGGTTTACCTTTCTCTCCTGTCTTGGTGGCCCACATAACTTGGGCTTGTTTCTGCATCCTTGAGTGGGCCCGCCCCAACACTCCTCCTTATCCAATTCTGAGATGTTTGAGAGTAAATAAATCCAATTCCACTTTTTAATTTTTGGTTTATTCCAAAATATATACCATATGTCATTTAAAAAGTCGATACTTGTTGTAACTTTATTAATTTAATTTTTTTACACTGAATTTATAAAAAATGAATCATCACATATATATAAATAGATTTGATAATTCATACGCATTCTCTTAAAAAGTTAAATTACCTAAAAGTGACATTTAATTTGAGATGGAAGAAGTATTATTTTTAAAAATGGAATATTATAAATTAAGGGATTGAAAAAGTTATCACTGGATTGGCTTTGGCTTGTACTTTGAAAATAATTCTCAAGAATTCAAAAACACAATTATTTTTAAAAAATTATTAAAAAACAATTATCTCCAAAATAAGTCTTTTTATAATTAAGTTTTCAAAAAAGTAAACCTAACAGAGTTTTGAACAATTTTCTGATTTTTAATTATCTAAAAATAGATAATTGTTTTCAAAATTACAAACTACTGAGTAAGATTTTTTTAGCAACATGAAAGATGACAACACGATCTGTCATGGATCTTCACGATGATGTCATGGATCTCAGTTCACTTAAAATAGTAAGAGGAATATAACATAATAATAAACACATGAATCTAAAAACAACCTCACTAACTTGAAAACATATATATATATATATATATATATATATATATATATATATATTGGGTAAATAAACTATGAATGTTTAGCATACAAACAGAAGACCAGCAACGAAGTTTAGCAATGATCATCGAGCTTGGAAGGCTCCAATCAGCAGCAACAGACCTCGAAGTTGTACAATCAGAGTGCCGAACAACAACAGAGAGTTTGCACCTAATGCCGTCCTCGATTTGTTTGAGAAGGTTCCGTTGTTCCTCTCCCTCCAGAGGTAATAAACTGTCCCAGCAAAACATAACTCATAAGCCATAGCTTTGTTTGACTTTGATACCGGGTTCCAAAGATTAGCTATCCAATTAGCAATGGCCACAATACCCTGTTCACCGAGTATATCCCGCATGAATGTGGGAAAAATTGCCAAACTTTGCTGGAGTAGGAGCAATTAAAGAAAATGTGGTCGCGATGCTCATCTTCTCTGGATAATAAAGAGAACATTCTGTCAAAATTCCTGCCTGAGAGACTATAAGCTTATCTCTGGTTTTCAGCTTATGGCTGATAGCAACCAAGCAATGAAAGCGTGTCCCGGAATGTGTTATGAAGTAAAAAGAATGTGACAGATCACAAAAATTATCCCAGATGATTTTCAACATCATTCAAATTCAATCACCACGTTCTTATGGGTCACATGAAATGAAAAATTGAACATAAAGCCAAGGGCCTAAGAACCGATACCCACGGAAGACAAATCTTACAACTACCAAGAAAGCAAAAACTGATTACCTGCACAGAGTGAATTCAGCGAAAACCCAAAAATTTCACTTCTCCAGATCCGACAACCTGTACAGGTTGAAATCAGCAGAAATAGTGTTGTTTTTTGGTTTTTTCACATCTCCATAGCGCATAATAAAAGTTTTAGCCCAAAATTAAACAAATACGATTCTGAAGCATAAGGTCTTACAGCGCTCTGTAATTTTTAAACCCTTTTTTCTGTAAGGGTGTTATACAGCAAATAACAAGACATTACCAAAAGCTTCAAAGTGAAGAGAGGGCAATCAATCGCCGAGACAATTACTACTCAACAAAACATGAATTATCGTCTTAGAAAACAAAAATATTTTTTTATTAAATCTAACAGAAACACTTAAAAATAAAGACAGAAACAAAATATAATCTTCACTATTGTGACACACAAAATCCATATAACCAAATAAGAAAATTTGTATGGATAATGAAAGGAAAAAATGATGCATGCATCACCATCGTAAAGGGAAAAACAAAAACAACGTTGCAATATATCTTCTTTTGCTCAACATGCTGAAGTTGCTAAGCTCCAAAGAAACTGTCAGAACATTACCAAAAAAATAAACTTTACTGAAACCCAGAAACTCATTTAGCAGAAACTCCAATAAAACAACAAGTCCAAGAAACATTGACTTAAAATTTTGCACCAGCATATGCTACATCAAATTCAAATCACCACAACAAAAATATGAAAGTTACCCTAAGAGTCTATCATCTGAAAAACAGCCAATTCAAATGGAAATAAAAGATCGTCATATTGAATTAGAGATCAACAAAATCTTGAACAGAAAAGCAAAAGCAAAATAGTACAATCATCTGCTTCATGGAGAAGAGTGACACAATCCACATAAAGAGTATCAGCACAAACAATCAGACAGACTTAATCCCTAACCTATCTCGCATACATGAATAAGAAGAACTGCTAAACACAACACATACTTGTGAACCAGAAGAATGGGCAAATAAAAAAATTAAAATCATCACAGCATTACACAGAACCTTTACAAAAAGAAGAGACTACTTCGAGCACCGTGGCTTCAGGACATACATGGCACAATAACATCAAATTATATAAAAACAAACTAGAAGTGAAGAAAATGAATTAAAGAACCATAACGTAAATGAAGACAACAATACGTTCATTTCAGCGGTGGGCACTACAACCAAGTTACAGTCTTTCGTTGTTTTGCTTGTGATGTCAAAAGAAACAAAATAGTAAATAACCATCAAAATCTACTAAAGAGACAAGCATGTATATTAAACCAAAAAATAATTGTAACGCATACTTTTACTAACACCCAAATCCATCCTAAACAATGGAAAGACGGTTCAAGACAAGAACATAAGGACATACTAGTAACCATGGCACAAAAACATCCAATAACATAAAACCATTTTTAAAAAAAACAAAAAAATGTAAAGACAACATGTTAATGAAACTTAGTATAAGTGAAGACTGCCTTTACATTCATTTCGGCAGCAGGAACTCTAGTCATGTTCAAAAAAAAAAAACATAGAGTAAAAACACCAAAACATCTACTTAAGAGAATAATACTTACTAAACCAAAACATAATTGTAAACGAGGACAACATTACGTTCATTTCAACAGCAGGCAGTCCAGCCGCGTTACGGTCTGTCCTTTGTTTGCTCATGATGTCAAAAGTAACAAAACAGTAAAGAACCATCAGCATCTACTCGAGATAACAAACATTTATTAAACCAAAAAACAATTGTAAGTGAAGACACCATTACGTTTCATTTCAGCAGCGGGGAATCCAGCAGTGTTACAGTCTGTCCTTCGTTTGCTCATGATGTCAAAAGCAACAAAATAGTAATCAACAGAGAATACATAATACGAAACAACCTAAAGAATCCATTGCACAAAACCAGAAACAGAGAAAACATATGCTAAAGAATCTAAAATAAATGAAGACCGCATTACATTCATTTTGGCAGCAGGAACTACATTCGTGTTACAGTCTATGTCCTTGGATTGATCATAATGTCGAAAACAACAAAAAGTAAATCACCAAAACATCTACTCATGAGACTCACACATATTAATTAAACCAAAAAAAAATGGTAATGCATTCTCTTAGCAGCTCCAGAGTTAATGAGAGTCTTGCTGAGTGACCAACATAGACAAGTGAAAAGACAGCTAAGAACTAAACCAACACATGGTAATACTTCACAAAAGAAGAACAAACAAAAACGATCTGAGCACCTTCACACACTTCCTGCGCACAATGAATTTCAGGAGAAGCTAAATATCTCGCATCTTCAATATGAACAGCATCATAAAAATTTAAATCAAAGAAAAAAACTTGTGGCTTATAATGCTCTGTTTTCTATATTAGTAACCATGTGTACTGCAAACAAAAATGATACTAAACCGAAAAGTAATTTTTGCACATCCACCTTGAAAATCTAAAGACCATCTTATCAACAACAAAAAACACAAAAGTGAATGGCAACAAGGCTAGATACATTCATCACCATAATCATGCTAAGTGCATGTAAATTGAGAAATAAATAAATGAAAAACTACCAAACATTGATTATGCATGATGCATTTAACTTGAACTCGATAATGAAAAGTAATGACAAAGTGTAAGCCAACTAAAACATAAATAAATGATGATAATATGAGTCCTTTCTAACGAATCATGCCAGTGAGCTATGGTAACAAGTGACAGACAACCGGAAGATCCATAAATAGCAGGATTTTGCAAGAAGAAGATTTCAACATCGTCCCAGCTAGTTACAATTTAATCCTATAGGCTATAACAACAATTGCATGCATACATTCAAAACCTTATGCACAACAGCAAATAAACTAAAAAATTGCAGAACATAAAAAAATAGACACTGGTAAATACAGAATGATTATTGAAAGAAATTTTAAACCAGAGAAGAAACCAAAATTTGTACATGTCCATGCTTTATTTGTATTGTAAACAAAAACAATATTATATGTAAGAGCCAACTTGTACACAAAGCAAAAGAAAAATCCAAGGTGAAGTTCCCTAATTAAATTAGCAAGTTCAAAGTAATCAGAATTAGGGAATCATGAAAAACCATAATTTGTATCTTAGATGACTTACAATGTGTATCCAACTAAATCTTTCAGTGCAACAAGAAAACACATCCATTCTGTCAAAGATCTATAGAATCATTGCTAAAGAGTAAAGACAACACCAGAAGATGAGAATGTCAAAGATCTACATAAGAGAATCAGCGCAATTCATAAGACATACTATAAATCTAGACTACCTCGCCAACATGAATAATGTAGAATTGCCACTACAAAAACAGCACAAACAGATCAATCAGAAGATAGGGTAGAAAGCGAGATAAAATCGCTGCCCCTGTTATCATGAAAAATAGACTGAGAACAGTGACTTTATGACATACATTCAAACGATGATGCTATGACATCAAATTAAATAAAACAAACTAGAGAAGTAAAACAACATCTAAAACAATCATAACTTGAGCAAAGGTAGTGTTTACTAGAATGGAGAATTTAAAACGTAAAGAACCAACACCCTTTGACAAGCTGCTGCTGCAGAAGGTGCGCTCCAACCGATTCTTCAATACATCCTCAGGTTGTATGAACTTGAAGCAACAAAATTAAGACCTGCAGAATCCCTTCAATGGAAGGTCAAAGATTAAAATTAATACACCTCCATATTTTATTTGTAATGTTGACAAAAACAATATTATATACAACAGCACACATGTACACAAAGCAGAAGAAAAACTATATGTTTCCATTCTACAATTACTCTATTAAATAACCAGGAATGATGGTCGTCCATAATACCCAAACAAGAATGAAAAAACACAAATATCTATATTATCATATAACACAAGATGACAATATCCTAGAAAAGTTGAGCATGAATAAAATTCAATCACACAAGACAATAATGGCTTAATGCAAAGAGGAAACAAAAAACCATCACGAACCAACAACACTTGCACAACAGCGCCATCATAATATAAATAAAGAGAATTTATGTAATAGATATCTATATTTTTCTTTTCATGAACTTACAACAAGAATGATGGCTAAACAGACCGCATGGAAATAAAATGAAAGAAGTCTTAATACTATATTTACAGTATCACCATTAAGCGAACTCTTCTATAAAACTAAAAATCAAAATCAATAAAAACATATTAAGTGCACAGATAGCAGAAGGCAATGAGAATCTTGCAAGTATGAATGTACAATTATTTAAAGATAAATGAATTTAGAGTCGTCAACTGACAGAAACAGCCAAAAGTTCACAGGAAGGTGTTTGAGTTCTTGCTACACCTCCTTTCGTGTGAAGGTGGCAGCAACAGCAATATATGTTCCTTTATTATTCTAACAAAAAAGAAAAGCCATCATCTGCTTCATGGAGAAGAATATTGCCATCACAATGAAACAATCAATTGATGCCCCAAGAATTTATTTGACTGAAGTTTATAAATAAAAAAATGTCTTCACTTTGTCATGGGATCTGTAGATTCTACCAAATATTACATCAAAACCTAGGTGAAGTTCTCTAAATTAGCGAGTTCAAAATAATCAGAATTAGGGAAATCTTGAAAATCCATAATACACTACCTGACTACCTGATTCAACCAGATCTTAACTCTTTCTTCTCCAATCAAAACCTAGATGACTCGGAAGTTGTATCCAACTACACAACCTTTCAGTGCAATAAGCAAACACATGCATTATCCAAAAGAAAATCATTTTGGATAGTATTCCCTAGTTCCGATGGCATGGTTATGATTTCAAACCGCAGGCTCATAAAATGAGATTCAATATCAAGGTTCATGTCCAGCTAGACAACAGGCACTATTAAAAGAGAAATCAAAAGAGAAGAAGAAAAGAAAAAAGTATTCACGTTTCATCTCCAGCTAGACAACAGGCACTATTAGAAAAAAAAAAAAAGATATCCCTACTGGGAAAGAGAGGGAGAGAGAGAGAGAGAGGAAATAAGAAAAGAGCGTTAGGAGACACTGAAGTCACATATACAATAGAGAAGAAATAGAAAACCCAGTGCTTGATCAACTGGGGTGGGAAAAATCCCCTGATCCATCTCTTCATATTGAAAATGTCTCCAACGTCGCCTAGAATAAAATGAGAGAAAACAACATTCAAAAGAGAAGCGATGCAAAATGATCTTTTCAGCCCCTTTTTGGGACAGTCTAAAATCATCACTGATGTGTAAAAGGAGCGCCTTCAAAATAGAACATCAATTGTATATTTTCTGTTTAGTTGTGTTGATTGAACGGAAACAAAAGCACTACAACACCTTCAAAGTAAGTGAAAAAGGAAAATTTTCATTTACATTCAGTATTGACTAAAATTGCAGGTGCTCTAACATTGTCCAACTAAGAAACGAGGAAGTAAATCTAGGAAGGTAGACACTCTCCACAAGAGATAAGGCATGAATCAAACCAAAAGATAAATAAAAAATCAATGATCCCACTTTTTTGTACTCATAAATACTTTCAAAACATGTAAAGGCAGCAGATTGAAAAACTGACAACAAACAAGGCAATAGAAACACCTATCAAGGAGCATCCAACCGCTTACTGTGCAAGACATATCTGCAGAGAAGAAAATATTCAACATTTTATAAGCCAACCAAATGAGCAGTTTGGCTATGGAGGTTTTGTACATATTGTTCACCTCTTTTTTTAATTTTTTTTTATTTTTACAAGTATTACTTTCATGATTTGACAAACACTGCAAAGAACAAACACTGCAAAGAACAATACCTTCTCCACATAGGAGTCCAGCCATCGACACAGTTCATCAGAAATTAAGAATCACACCAAATACACAACTTTATTGCATTAAATTACTACAATCAACATAAATGAAAAATGTACAGATAACCAAATAGGAAACAATTACAGTAATGAACTTCATAAAGAAAACATAAATGGACCATTTTTCACCATTCAGGCAGAATGAGCTCTATACATGTGTCGTATATTTCATGGTTTCACCTCAGAAAGTGCTTTAGATTTTACCATGATTTTGATCCGCCCTTGAACTGCAATCAACAAATAAACTGTAGCCTAAAGCATACAATAGTATAGTGTTGATAAAGGCATCACATCATTACCCAGGCTGAGGCGTGTTTTAGCATAGAGAATAAAATGTATATATATTAGGAATACAATATGTATCAGGCAGGGATTAATCAAAAAGGAAAGCAAGGATGAAGTCTTCACTTACCATGATAGACTACGGAAAAGAATGGCATGAAACGAACTGTGAGGATCAGCAACCTAGAAGATGTGCTCCAAATATTTAAGATTTTGCCAACCTGCAAGAAGATTCAATTCTTGCAACATTTCATCCATATCTTCAACATCATTGAAGTTCTAAAGCTCAGCAACTCCGAATATAAAACTCTCAACTGAAACAGAAAATAGAAATGAGAAAGTATATAAATATATAGATAGTGATATTCGAACCACAGAACAGTATAGGACACATAAAAATGAGATAAGATATTTAATGATTATGAAAATTAATCCACAAAAGTAACAATATTAAAATCCGAGCATAAAGGTAAATTTTAGAGCCTATCTGGAACAAGGAATGATGGATGTATTATCATATAAACAATGGAATGGGTGCTTTCTGCAACGTGGAAGGACATCTCAAAAGACGAGAAAACAGAGACAAGAAATTAGCAAACAAACCCCTCAAAACAGAAAATACCACAATACTGTTATGCATTCAAAATTTTAATAGATAAATACCACAAATTCAAATTTCTAATTAAAAAATAATAATGATCTAACCTAAAATTTGACAGCAGGACCTACCCATGTGTCATAACAGCACCTTAGACATTCACTGAGCCTTGCTTAGAAATATGCCAAGAGGTCCTTAACAAACAAGAAGCCATGCAGACATCTAGATACAGAACATTTTTTAATTATTGCAGTCAAGCCCATGATGCTGCTGCACCACAAGATGCTTCAACATGAGATGCTGCCTTCAAGCAAGGAGAAAGCATAGAACTCTCTCTTCTGCACAGGCTGCTGAGGCACATCCTCCAACAGTGTGTGCATACATAAATACATACATACATACATACATACATATATATATATATATATCCAGATATCATAATAAACCTCAAGCATAATATATGAAGATTCAACAGCATTCCAACAAAAAGATAAATCAATCATAATTATGAAGTGTTCTTGCACAATTTAAACCCCGTCAATATCAAGAATAGTCCGCTTATTGCATCTATCTTATAAACCATGTGGGAAAATGAGAATAAAAAAATTTCATTGCCTACACCACACAAATGAACTTGCCTTTTAATATGTCAATTTCCTTGTAATGGATGAAATGACAAGATTAAAGAGTCAACAAAAACTTTTATATGAAAAGAATAGATGCAAATAATAATATCCTCAAAAACTTTTATATGAAGAGAATAAATACAAACAACATTATCCTCATTTCTTCTTTCGACTGTAATAATGAAGAGACAGAATATCACTAAAAACAGTACCAATTAACTCATTTAGACAAACGCGAATGTTCAATCTAACGCGAACACCAAACGAAACAAGGGAAGAGCAGGAGATTCTGCATCCCTTAAAAAGGTAACAAGTAAAAACAAATTAATTTCAGGTAAAAGATTACACACTTAGACAAATGCAAAATGAAACCAAAAAAAAAAAAAAACAGAATGAAAAGATTTAATAATGATCTAACCTCAAACTTACATTAGGTTTGATTGTGCACGGGGAAGGTGTTAGGCACCCAATGACACCCGTGAAACACGGTTACCTTATCTTTTATGTTTCATTCCAAAAAAAATGTACTCGTTTAGAATCTAGCACCATAGGTCTTCCTTGAATATCGCCTTGAAAGCTTGACTCTATCCATAAGAGATAGGATCTATGTTTTGATAGGTATACGTGATTAATAGTAGAATGGTTTTGAAAAATATATGTTTAAACATAAGGTTCTTGAAAAGAAATTATTTTTTGAAAATAGTGTGACCGAACCTAGGAACTACCTAGGGCCTAGGCTGCCTACATACCTTACCATGTGAATGATATGATAAAGGATCAAGTCAAATGTAGTTCAATACGATGAGTTTGGCAAATTTTGAGGTTTAAAATGTGAGCATAAGAGCTGATGGTAATTGTTTTGAAAAGAGAATGTATGAGTTCTTGGTGATTTTGACTTGAAAAGAGTTTCTTTCAAGAAAAAATGATTTAAAAAGTGAGAACATGAGAGTTACTGACTTAAGAGTATCATAGAATTGTTCTGAAAAGAAACCTTAGGAGTTCTTGAGAACTTATCTAGAAAAAAATGTTTTGTTTGAAACAGTAATTTTGTTCCTTATAAGATTGGATGTTGTGAAATGAAGACTTCATGGTTTGACAATTTGGGCTGACTATTGGAAAGCTTTGTTCCTGAAAATTAAGCCTCAGAAGCATGCGTACCAATGTAGTGGTTTAGTTAGTTCTTGTGAGCCAGCTGAATTTCTATCTTGTACCTTTCATACGGACGGAATCAGGACAAAGAACATCAAAATATTTATCATTGTCGTCAAATTGAACAATCGGAAAGATGTTTGTTTATGATCATATAATTCTAATATATGTTATAAAAATAAAATGACAAGCACTTCATGAGAAAAGAAAATGAAGAAGATAAATGTAGCCAAAGGTAAACCCAAGAAGACACCAATAATTTTTAACTATTCAATCTGCAGAATCAAATCAAAATAGGGTGACATATTGCGGGCTACATGCTGTAATGTTTTGTTTGAAAAAGGAAATTTTGTTCCTTATAAGGTTGAATGTTGTGAAATGAAGACTTCATGGTTTGACAGGGCTGACTATTGGAAAGCTTTGTTCCTGAAAATTAAGCCACAGAAGTGTGCACACCAATGTTGTGGTTTAGTTGGTTCTTGTGAGCCAGCCGAATTTCTATCTTTTACCAGTCATACGGACGGAATCAGGAAAAAAGAACATCAAAATATTTATCATTGTTGTAAAATTGAACAATTGGGCAGATGTTTGTTTATGGCCATACAATTCTAATATATGTTATAAAAATAAAATGTTTTCACAACCATTAATCAGCATTAAGAGAATCTCAAGCTACGGTTGCTACCGTAGGGTTTAATTATTCAGCACAATCACTGCATGAGATATATACTATTTTCCTTCTCAGATTAGAAAAGAATATGAAGAAGATAAATGTAGCCGAAGGGAAACTCAAGAAGACACCTTTGATTAACCAAGAATAATTTTTTAACTAATCAATCTGCAGAATCAAAGCAAATCAAAATAGGGTGGACATATTGCAGGCTACATACTGTAATATCGTGCCGTGTTTTGTGATCATTCTAGTTAGATGATGCTGTTCAAGTCCCCTTAAGGTATTGTGTATGTATTTTGAGTAGTTTACCCATAAAAGTTAATGTTTCATGGATACTATTCTAAGAGAACATACTAAAGAAGTTCTACCTAAGGATGCACGTTCGGTCTGGTTCTTTAATGAATCAGGACCAAACCAGTCCTAATAGTTCCAGAATTATTGAAACCAAATAAAATGTTGGAACCACTAAACCAAATCAAAACTATTGATCAGCCACATCAATGCATTTCACAATAGCCTACCGGTAGTTTGTCACTTTCCAAAGTAGAAGCCAAGGGTTTAAGTCCCAAAAACAGGGTGTAAGTTTCTTGCCAACTTTCAAAAAATTATTAGTTCCTAAAGCACATAACAAGTACCAACAAAAGAAAAAATTAAGCATAACAACAAAGCCAAGAAAATGAGATAATCCTTATATATATTAATATCTCCAATTTCAACATCAAGGTAGAGCATATTTGCCAATGTAGTTTAATTTGCTGTTAACTAGAGAAATTGCAACAAGAATCTGTAAAATTACATTATGAATGATGAAAACTTGCTTACTTCATCTCGGGTGTGTCAGATGAGTTTGACTCTTTTCCCTGCATTTTCATGAAGGGTGAAAGGAGACTATCTACAGAGATGGTCGCATGAAAATCAAACATATCTTTTTCATTTTCCCCGTCCCATATGACAAGAGTACCATCCCTATTTATCCTGTTGTGTAAAACCAACTTAGTGTAGTCCATCAGCGCTTCATTCCTCAACAAAGCCAACATATCTGAAACTACTGGGAACTTAATATCAATTCTAGTCCAAGACTGCTCCACCCCATATTCCTTCATAACCCACAATGCACTATCACAACCTGGTGGTGGTACTATACAAAGGCATCCTTCAAACACCCCCACTTGGGGCGCCTTATGAAAATTGATGTTGGCACAAGTACTTGGCAAGGGAAACATCCGCAGTTTCTCATCCACCATTCTAAAAGCAGCAATCTCATATGTAATTTTAGGGTCCACCATTCTTCTAGAAGCAGCAATCTTATATGTAAAATTAGGGTTTTTAATACGAAGCCAATGAATGGCCCCATTCAGCTGTGTCCCATACGGGAAAACACGAAAATCCATCTTATTATTGAAGTCTTCAACTACTCTCCAAGAATCGGTTCTCATTGAATATACAAATATTCGATCGCAATCTATGTTCACCAGTTTGTAGTCATCATGGCAATGGTCATAGCCAAATCCAACTATCTTATGTAGGCATGGAGGGAAATAATAATCGCAATCTGGTATTTGCCTCAACTCCCTGGTGGAAAGATTGAATACATATGTATCTCGCTTAAGCTTAGAGCTTTTAATAAGAAGAGATTCTACCTCAATGCATATCAACCCATTGCAAGAACCCATGATATAACATCCTCTGATTTGACATCCTGGGCTGCTCTGAAATAAAAAATCAATCTTTTGTACTACAATGTTGTTGTCGTCGGCGGATCTGAAACTTGCGGTGTAGAGACCGTATGGGCGGAAGGGATAGGATATGAATAGAATATTGTGTGGTGTTTGGATGCTGGAAGACTTTGCGAGTGATTGATTGAGGTGGGTTTTGATGAAGTAGGGGTCGGAGATCAAAGAGCGCCATGACTTGGACACGCACCTGAATCGCAACAGAGACTTGACATCTAATTTTGAGAGTATTTGAACAAGAAGATGTTGGGAAAGGTTAGGGAAAGGCATGGCGTCTAGCTTGTCGCAGGAGTCGTAGTCATGATATGTAGATATACACATATTTATAGTAGTGAAAACCATAGGAAATCCATACTAAACGCACAAGGAAACTAGCATTTTTTTCACAAATTACGAAATAAAATTAAATAAAACAAAATAAAAAATTAATTCTAAAAATTACTAAATACGTCACTTTACTTTAGAAAAGATATAAGAAAGATACAGTGCCTTACTGCCTTATATAGTATAGTTATATTAGGACTAGGAGTAGTAATTTTTTAATAATCTTCTCCTGTCAAAAATAAATAAATAAATAGGAAAATTACATATAAATGGAGTTAAAGTTTCATATTTACTTAGAGACTGAGTCAAAGTTCCATATTTCTCTAAAATGGATTGCTGAGGTGGCACATGGTTTTTTACTGTTTAGAAAATTGTGGTGCCTAAAATGCCCTTCCCTAATAAAAAAGTAGTACCTTCAGTTCAAAAAAGTAGTACCTTCAGTTCAAAAAAGTAGTACCTTCGAAGAAAAAGTAGTACCTTCGCGGGTGTTTAAAAAACATGGTACCTGGACACCAAAAAGTAATACCTTCAGTTCAAAAAAGTAGTACCTTCGAATAAAAAGTAGTACCTTCGCGGAAGGGTATTTTAGGCACCACAATTTCTAAACAGTAAAAAACCATGTACCACCTCAGCAATCCATTTTAGAGAAATATGAAACTTTGACTCAGCCTCTAAGTAAATATGGAACTTTGACTCCATTTATATGTAATTTCCCCTAAATAAATCTACCCATCTTCCCCATAGATGTGGTGTTCAACTACTCCTTATGTAAAAGTATTATACTCACCCTTAACGAGAGCCTTATGATTTATTCAATGGGAGGTTAAAATTAATTTGTATGTTCACTACTTTAAGAAAGAATAATGATAGATTGACCACTAAATTCTTTCCATTCTTTCACCATCTTAATTGTACAAATTACTTGGAAATAAAAGTATAAGGAAGGTATTTTTTTGTTCTCACGATAACCATCTATATATATACATACACACTCACACAAAATTATATTTATGAAAGTTTTTCATCTCCATGCGACTGGGACAATCTTGATTCACTTTCTTTCTGATTAATTTAAGTTTTCTATTTTAATTTGTGCAATCTTAATTTTGAATTAACTGTTTACAATTAGACTCCTAAAATCTATTTGGAGAGAAATATGTGTAAATTTTTAAGATAGAGGAGATAAAATTTAGACCCAAATCTTAGAGGGAGAGAAAGTGAAGAGAAATCAGAGACATATATGTTAATTTTTAAAGAGATAAAAGATAAGAGAATTTCATATAAAGATTGAGAAGAGAGAATTTCATACTCAAATCTTTGGATGGGATGATTTGGAGGGGATAGAGAAAGAAAAGAAGTGAAATGATAGGGTTTCAGTGTGTTTGGGTGATTTAAAATGGGAGAAAAGAAAGGATAAGGAATGATAGTTATTTCTCATTTTCTATCTTTCCAAAAATGAGAAAATACTAGTGGTGGCAAAGTAGATCACAACCTATCAACCTGCCCATATCCGTCCATTTTTTAATAGTTTTGGGTGAACCATATTTAAAGTGGGTCAAAAATGAGTTGAATAATTTTTAACTACTTAATTTGAGGATAAAGGTGGGTTGAACCCATATTTCATCTATCACATAATAAATACACAACACACATCTATTCTATTTGCACTCACCTCATTTCTCTCTCTCTAAAATTCTCTATCTCACGATCTATTTTATATTGCACTCACCCCATTTCTCTCTCTCTAAAATTCTCTATTTCACAATCCTCTTTCTCTAAATTTGTCTCCATTAATCCCCCTCTTTTTAGAAATTTCTTCCATTTTCTTTACTTCTCTCTCTAAAATGAGTCAATAAATATTGTTGAGTTTGAGATTGTTTTTTTTTATTATTATTATTTATATAAATGTATATATAAATATGTGTGTGTAACTCTGTATTTCTGTTATAAAAAATAATAATACATTATTATGATAGTAGTGATGCACATGAACTTTCACTGTTTAACTTGAAAATTTTCTCATTTTGATAAATTATGTCTCTACAAAATGTTGATCATTAGGATCTGTACATACATATATTTTGACAAAAAAAAAAATATATGTAGGGCATGATAATATGCATATGATCCCTGTTTGTTTGTATTTTGGCCTTGTCAACTGTTTAGTGGGTTGGACAGGGCATTTGCTTTCGACTCGGGCATTTTTACATCATTTGCTTATCTTCTATTTTAATACAAATTTTACCATATGAAAGAATATATATATATATTAAAGGTTCACTGTTTAATTTTGAATTCATATGAGTTGAATGTTGAAATTTAATAAAATAATATATAATTACAATTTTTTTAAAAAAAATATTGAAGAATATATATGTACTAAATGGATTTTGTAAACTTATTACTTACCTTCAACCCATAGCAATTAAAATAATTTTTTCCCTAATTTTTAGTAAAACGAGATGGAACTAACAGTAAAATGTATTTTTTTCTTTTAAAAAAAAAAAAAAAAAAGGATTAAAATGGGTCATTGGGTAAAAAAAGAATAAAAGGATGAAAATGGGTCATTGGGTCTTACGGGTTGACCCAACCCATATTTGACCCGTTGCAAACAGGTTGAATATGGGCTGCAACCCATTTTCAAATAGCTCATATATGACCCTGCTCAAACTCGATCCAACCCGTCCGTTTGCCACCCTTAGAAGTTACAGAGAAAAAGGATAATATTTAAGTAGTATTTTTATAATTCTGAAAGTGCCCTCAACAATTAAAAAGAAAAAATTATTATTTCACTCATATCCTTTCTATTTAAAAAGATATTATAGTAATTTGATTGTTATCATACCTAGTGCCGGTCTTATCACGTGACATCATGATGTTGCGTAGAACAATTTCAATACCTAGTGCCGGTCTTCCTAGAGATGGCAATGGGGCGGGGCGAGGATCTCATTCCCCATCCCCATCCCCGCCCCCATCCCCACTTAAAATTTCACCACCACCCCCATACCTTGCCTCGCCCCCTTATCCCCGACCCCGGCCCTGGCCCCGATTAACATATATATATATATTTTAAAAACATAATTTTTCTTATTTTCATATATATACTAAATCTAATTTAGTAATAAATTATTATATGTAAGGGTATATTAGTAATTTCACACTTAATCGGGGCGAGGCGGGTTTACCCATTACCCGTCCCCGCCCCCGGCGGGTTTTCAAAATTTATCCCCATCCCCATCCCCGTTTACATAAAAAGATCCCTATTCTCGCTATAAACGGGGCGGAGCCGGGCGAGGACCCGACGGGGATGGAGAATTTGCCATCCGTAGGTCTTCCTGATGTTGTATTGGGAAGGCAAAGCATTGGTAGAACTCTCTCTATATAAAAGAGGATGACCCGTCATTATGTGTCTCCTCCAGGTTTGGGCAATGTTTTGTACCACACCTATACTTATTGTGGACTGTAACTTTTCATTAGCCCAGTTGGACCACCTATATTTGTAGTTGGGTTCCTCCAATAAAAGGCCCATTAGGTTATGGGTTGTATATTGCGAGTCCCACACATTCCTGTGCGGTAAAATGTTTTAGTAACCTAGCCCATGCAGCCATTTATGTGCAACGTCCGCAAACCCCACTTGAAGCAACATTGTTGTTCTTATTGCGCTCTGTTGATACATCTTTGTTCTATGTTTGGATGATATGAACGGTATGGCATGTCAGATTTATTTGAAGATACCTTATGGAAGGTGGTACCGTTCGCATAGTATGGTGGGAATTTATTGCTACTCATGTCCAGGTTAAGCTTGGTGCTGAAGGATTCAAGCGATTTGACTCACCTCAAGTTTGGAAACCACCTTGGAAGAGAATGGAGATGTGTACCGTGGTTGTGCAAGTTTTAGTTCGAGGAGAAGGAGAGGTATTCAGTGCTTCTAAGGAAACCATTGGGTGTTTATTTGATAATACGCCCTCTTCCTATGCTAATAAGGCAAAGTAATTATAATTCCTATAGCTGATTAATAAAGTTCCATTTATTCAGGGAGATTTTGCTTCTTTGGAAGGAAAATACGGAGAGATGTATAAAAAAGACAACAAACTTCTTTTTTGTTTGGTTGAACGGAATAGAGAGTAAAAATGATGGATTATTTTTTATTTTTTATTATTATTATTATTTTTTTATGGTTGGAAGGAAGAGAAAGAGAGTTTTTATATAATATTAGTATTTTTTATCAATATACTCTCATCGTAAAAATAATAAAAGGTAGATATTCATTTTCTCTCTTTTCCCTCCTAAAATTGGGCTGAAAGAAAAACAAGAAAGAATGAGGGATGCTTCCTCCCTCTCTTCCATTCTCTCCAACCAAACATGAAAAGTTCCTTCCATCCCTTCTCAAATTTTCCCTCCAGCCAAACATAGCATAAATGTCAAGTACCAGATACACATACATGCCTGCATCCAAGTTCTCCCCCCATACTCTCTCCTTTTGTAGGAGTAGGACAGCAGGCACCACTCAAGCTAACTAGTTGGTGGTTAGATATCAATTTTGTCTTACAATGGACCTTTCATGGCTTATCTTACATTTAATGCAAAAATAATAATAATTCAAGCATGCAAATAGCAAGACAAATAGCTTCCAGCCATTAAACTGGACCTCTATGATATCTTGGTCTTAGAAATGTTATATCACTGCATCTTGATTTAGGAACAGTTTTGCTAGTTGTCATGATATCATGGTTCATTTCCTATAATCACTGCAGTTAATAATACTCATTCAAGACAGAATTAACACACACACCACTGATTCGACACCACCTACAAATATTATGCATATAAAAAATATATATATATATATATATATATATATATAATTCAAATTCATTCCAACAACAACAAGAAGAAAGATAAAAAAATAAAAATGAAAAAAAAAATAAAAATAAAAAAACACACTCTAGCAATTAGAGCTTAAGATGTCTAACAAGAAGCAGGGCTCTTGCAGCTAATAGGTACTCTATGAAATCTGTAATAGTCAAGAAATATACCTCTGCCAAATTTTTCTCAATTCAGATCTTCATATCATAGTCAAGGAAGAGGCTTAGGAAGACCATTCTTCCAATTCTCAAGCTGTAACCGCAAACTAGCAATCCTACTTGAAGCAGCCGCGAGTTCTGTATCAAGAGGCACCAATGCACCCACGGTTTGAAAATGGGTTTCTAGCCTATTTGTTACATTAGCCAACTCTTCTCCATTTTCTTCTGTTAACGGATCGGCAGCTGAATCAATCACCATCGTTGTTTACCAGGATAATTGCTCCATAACAGAAGCCTCCCTCAGCAACCCAGAGCAATGCCGATTCTCCTCCATTATTGACTCATCATGAATCCTACTCCAGATATACGTGAAATCTTCGTACCACTTAAAACCCTCCATACAATTCACGTAAAAGCGTATATCAATTGGCCGGCCTTGACATGGTAAGGCAGCAACAAGGCACCACATCGTCATATAGTGTGCACATGCCATCGTGTATACAGAATCTGCAAGCTGATTAGTCTCACGATTATCTACTGCAGTTGGAAGGGACAAATTTGCTTTAAGCAAATCCAATTGCTTGGAAGCTGACCACAGACGGCTAACCCGCGTCCGAAACAATCTAGGTGGCTCCAAGTGCATGTCAATTTCCTCATTGTCTTCAATTATACGAGCAGCAAGGGCGTAGTTTGACTCCTTTTCATTCTCAATTAAAGCCTCCAAATCGTTGAGAAATGCCCTTGCTGAATACAATTCGGACCTCCCAACATTCTGACCCTGCAGAATCATGCGAACCATATTCAACCTGATATGACACTCCAGGAGATAATCAACTCCCTCCCGAATTCCATTGATCAATTCCAAGGAATTCAAACAAACGTGTAGATAAGGACTGATCAAGTGATTCATAACCTCTCTACTGAGGTGCATCCCATTCTCATATATAAGAGTCTCGAATTTCTTCCCGCAAGAAATGAAATTTTCCAGTAGATTCTGAACCCATGAAATGGATGGGAAATCATCCCGAATAATCAAATTGTCGAAACAAAGACCAACATAGGTCTCAAAAAGTTCAAGGTCTGTTTCCTCCATTATAACTTGGAGACTGCTGGCAATTATGGGATTCAAAGACAAGTATGAGAAACTGAAAATCATTAAAAAATAATAACAGAAATAGAAAGACAAGTATGGTTATCCATTATTTAATCACTTTGACATGAGCAAGAAAAATAAAAAAATCCTATTTTTACTTGGAGTTTCTTCAATTTTTAATATTCCTAGACCATTTGAGGCATTGGTTTCACAATCAATCGAGACATGGCTAAGACGGAAGGAGTATGGTGAAGCTTAACTAACAAAAAGGGTAGATAAATCAACCCAAAACTGAACTAGGAGAGGTGTAGTAGGAAGACATAGAAACAATGTAAAGAGAGAGATACATTTCCAGAGAAGAAATCTAAACATACAGTATGTCAATATGCTTAATGAAGAATATATATATATATATAATATAGCGCAAACAAAAGAAAATGCAGAAGAGAGAAGCACAGAAACGAACCGATTATGTATGTATACTACAAACAAGAGACAAAGCAGAAGATAGGACCACAGAAATGAACAGATTATGTCTGTATACTATATATATATATATAGATATATAGAAAAACTAGGTAAAACATACACAGATCTAGTACTTGATCTCTGGAGACAAAAAGGAAACAAAGAAAACATTAGTAGTATTACCTGATTCCAACCAGTAATCGCCTGCAAATGGCAAGTTTTCTGGCAAACTCTCCGTCGATTGTAGAGAGAGACACAGAGAGAATACTGAGGAAGCAAAAGTCCAGACCCCTTTTCTCGAATTCATTGTAGAATCTGTCATATGGTCATTGTTTTAAATGAAAATTCAGTTGGCACTTGAAATGAAGATTAGACTTGATGTTCAAAGAAACAAAACCAGAATTCTGCCTTATCAGTGAGACTATCCAAAGGAAGAATCCCAACAGCGTGTCAATATATAGGCATAAAAATATCTGGTAAAATTAGATATAAGATATTCAGAACAAGGTGTTCTATGGTCTTGTGAATCAAAAGGACCACTGAATACATAATGACAAAATTAATTTAATAAAGGAAACTGCATATATAACTTGAAAATTGCAACTAACACAAAAAACATCAATGTATGTGAGCGATTCAAGAAACATCGGTTTCATTTGACATGTAACTTATTCAGAAATCTAAAGAATTTACCATAAGAAATACAAAACTGCAATTTTCACAATTTGTAATTTATACCCCCTTCAAATTGCGGTTAGCAAGACTCAGGCTCCCCTCCCAATTCATCTTTCTCAGGGTGAATCAAAAATTAAATAAATGCATAAAAATGAAAACAAAAACAGCAATAAAAAGAAGAAGAAGAAGACCAAGAAGAAGAAATGGCACATGTGGTTGGCTAGAACTCCCAAAAATCAACTCAAAAGCCTTTTCCCAGCAAAAAAAATACATAAATCCCTAATATAAAAATGATAACAAAAACAACAGCAATAAAAAGAAGAAGAAATGGAATATGTGGTTGGCTAGAACTCCCAAAAATCATCTCAAAAGCCTTTTCCCAACAAAAATAAAAACAAATCCCTATTATAAAAATGTTAACAAAAGCAGCAGCAATAAAAAGAAGAAGAAGAAATGGCATATGAGGTCTCAAGCTAGGGTTTGAGTTGTACATTGGTTTTTCACCTGCGAGGACAGATTGCAATTGTACGTACATGGGGGAGGCTTCAACTCCTCCGAACCGCCATAGAAGCACAAAATATAGTGATTATAAATTCATAATTGTAAATGGAATTTCTCAAACAACTTACTGAATCAAATAGGCAGTGAAGTAAGTCTAAATCTCCATTTAATAAAACTCCACAAAATCAATCAATGTCTCCATACTAACAGAAACACAAATAAAACAGACTTTCACTCAAACAAACAAACACAAATAGAAACACAAAAATGTGATCTGCATCAGAAATGAGTATGAGATATTACCTAAAAAGCCCTGTAAAAGAAACACAAATAGAAGTCAGGAAAGTAGGCAGAGAGATCGAGGAAGAGTATATATTGAGTGGATATACATAATATACATACATATATATATATATATAGAGAGAGAGAGAGAGAGAGAGAGAGAGAAATTAGGGAAACGACATCAGAGGAGGTAGAAAGACATAGAAACAATGTAAAGAAAATAAGAAATAGATATTTACAGAGATAAAATCCACACAAACACGCAGTCACTATGCACAAACAATAGAAAATGGAGTAGATAAAACCACATATACGAACCGATTATTTATGTTTGTGTGGGTGTGTTTGAAGAGAGAAGAATTACTTATAAACAACACGTATACATGGAGAGAGAAATTAGGGAAAGGACATCAGAGGACCATAATACAAGGAGAGGTGTAGAAAGAAGACATAGAAGCAATTTAAAGAGAGATATACATTTACAGAGAAGAAATCTAAACACACAGTACGTCAATATGCTTAATGAAGATATATATATAATATAGCGCAAACAAGAGCAAATGCAGAAGAGAGAAGCACAGAAACGAACCGATTATGTATGTATACTACAAACAAGAGAAAATGCAGAAGAGAGAAGCTCAGAAACGAACCGATTATGTATATAGATATAGATATAGATATAGATGTTTGAAGAGAAAGAGACAGACAAAAAGAAAACAATTGTAGTCTTACCTGATTCCAACCAGTAATCGCCTGAAAATGGTAAGTTTTCCGGCGAACTCCCCGTGGATTGTAGAGAGAGACAGAGAGATTGTAGAGAGAGACACAGAGAGAACACGTAGTTGGGAAGCAAAAGTCCGGACTCCAAATATTTATGCAATTTGGTTAAGAAACAAGTGCGTGAGAGTTGTGTGAGAGTTGTGTGAGCGTTTTGGTGGCAGTAGGCTTGTAGCAGGCTTGCAGGTGTACGGGTTTTTTTGGACACAACGGATTTTCTTGACCTCTGTGCTTTTGATGCAATTTTTTTTTTTTTTTTCAATTTTTATTTATTTATTATAAAACTAAAATCATTTTTATCTTTTTCAGATAAAATATATTGGTTACCATAAATGACACTATTATAAATTTATCTTCTATTTTCACAATGAGTTAATTCAAAATTAGTGCATTACATAATTTAGCATTTTGTTATTATTACCTGGTGGCCATATCACACTCTATTTCTCTTAAAAAAAAATTAGATTTTGGTGATCAAAGTTAAATAAAAATTTAAAAAATACAACCTTCAAATCAAGAAAAAATAAATAGTGATTAATTTTAAAACTTAATTACTAATGAGAGGGCAATTTGGTCAAGAGGTTAGGTGTAACGGGTCAAAGGTATTTGCCATCCAATCTAAAATCTTACCCTTGTGATGTAAACTCATAAAATTTTCGTTGCAATTAGACCATCTACATATTCACTTTAATGTCGAGAAGGCCAAATTTGGAGTGCCATGAGATCAAAGGTTGAGCACGTTCTGATAACACTTGTAACAAGTTATGCAATTACCATTCTTCCGAACAAAAAAGAAAAAGAAAAAAGAAAAAATTTAAGCTATTAAATGGTGTTACATACTACCCATACATGTCTAAGACCTTTCATATCCAAATTAGACGCGAAACAAGGATTTGTTACACTGGCAATCTTTATAAAGCTTGAGAGACTTTAGGGCTCTCTTTTTCTGATTCTTTTGTTAATTTTATTGTGTCTGTCTTTGAGAAAAGTTGCCTCAAAAGAAAACTTTAATTTAGCAAAAGACATGTGGTCTAGCGGTATGCGACTTCTACTTCTCTAAGGAAGGTCAGTGATTCGAATCTCAATGGAGACAGTATGTATGAGTCTCAACTAAAAAAAAAAATTTTCAATTTGAAACGGAGGAAATATATATTTTTTTTAAAACATGAAATCTAATCATCCATTAACCATTAACATGGAAAACTTGTAACACTCTTTCCTTCAATTTTTAAAAACTCAAAAATCATTTAAAAAAATTTATAGAACTAAACAGTATTATTTGAAAAGAGATTTTTTATCTGAGTTTGTCTAAAGAGACAAAATTTTCTACTCGTACCACTTAGTATTATGAGAGATGATGGAGGGAATTTTGAATGCTACCCGGGGGGGGGGGAGAGAGAGAGAGAGAGGGAGAGGCTACTCAACAAAAAGCAAACGGAGAAGGACAATTCTTGGAAACCAATAATGCTATGACGCGTGTCTAATAAGTACGTATACACAGTATATTTGAGAGAGAGAGGAGAGAGAATTTCTCATATTTTCATTTAGGACACGTGTCATTGTAAAATCAACTTTCGATGAGAAATTTTTACAATTTTGAACTGTCCAAATTGCAAAATATCTCATTTATATGATAAAATACTAATGAATTTTTTTTTTTTTTCATTATAGACAATAGATAAACACTGTTGCTTCTAGTTAGTGTTGGGTCCCACCACAATGGTCAATTGGTAATGATGGGATTTTCTTAATGATTACTTAGGGATTATTTAAAAATTTTGTAGATATATAATTCAGAAAAAAGAAAATAATAGGTACTACATATATGATAGCCAAAAAAAAAAAAAATCACTAGATCCTAGCCTGCGTAGCATTCTTGGAAACATTCATTTTTTCTTGTACATTGTTTCAAAATTATTCAGGCATAATTAATGTAACATGACATTTGTAAGTAGAAATTCAAAATGAGCAAATTAATATTCATGTACTACGACCGCATTACTACATGCAAATCTATTTTGTTCTATTGTTATTTTTATTATGTATTCCAACTCTCTTTTTTTTATATATTATTATTGTTACTTTATAATTTATTATTAGCATTATGTATTATTCGTGTACATTTTAATTTATTATTAGCTTTATGTGTTAGCAACTAATTGTATTGATTATGAATTTTCATGTACATTTTAATTTATTATTAGCTTTTATGTGTTAGCAACTAATTGTATTGATTATGAATTTTCAGAAAATTTTGATTGAGAAGGAATATATGGACATATTAATTTGAGTTTTAG